GCTTTAGCATAAGAGAGAGAGAAAGAGATGTTAGTGGAAGCCCTATGTTGGGAGGGGGCAGTTGAAGGGCACCCTGTGTCCCTGGCTCAAAAGTTAGACAGGCACGTGGGAATCCCACTGGTTGCTGAATGTATTACCTCCTAATCTGGCTAAAATTTGACAAATCAAATTTTGAGATTTATTTATTGGTGGATCCATCCTCTTTGGTTGAAAGTGTATCTGCTCTAGGCTCTTGAACAATTATTTACAAACATTTTACTAATCCCTGTTTCTCCACTGTGAAAATTTATGTAAACCAGATCTGACCCCAGAACCTGACCCCAGAAGCAACTCATTCCAGTTCGCCTAGGACTTTCCACTTTAGCACTTGCAAGACCCATGTCCTGGGAACCGTCTCAATCCTAGGCAAGATTGGATGGTTAGTATCAGGCCAGGAGCTTGGATGAGGGTTTGGATGCTATGATCAACAAACTGGAGTAGATGGCTTTCTGTTTGAAAGTAAATTTCTAGAACAATGTGCATATTTGCACTCTCTGAAATGTATGGACATAGGCCACTCCGGCAAATGAACAAGAGTTTGAAAGAAATATATTCAAAATGTATAGTTGAATCCAAAATAAGGAGGGAGACTGGGATGTATGCTTACACTTTGACATGTTGCCCTGCCACCATTTAGCCTTCACTTACCCATAATCTTGCCACTTATTTGCTAGTATTTACATTGACTCAAGTGCTAAATGATACAATTTAGAAGAAAAAAGAAAACTCTGGTTACCAATGTACTTTACTCACTTTGCATGTAAAGAACATTCATTCATTCGTTCGTTCGTTCGTTCGTTCAACAGAAGGCATGAGATAGACACTATGTGTCTCTGCCACCATGCAAGGTGCTGGCTTCATGGAGAGTCTGGTTGTCTACAGTGTTACATTAGAGTGAGGAAGTGTTCTGTGAGAGGCACACAGAGGGTGCTCTGGAAATATTCTTGGTATTAGATCCACTGCAGTTATTCTTCCAGAGAGAAACAAACATAGGACAGAGATACATATTATTTTAGACCATTACTCAAGACAGCTACATGTGGCTATTGAGAACCGGCTTATTGACAAACATGAAAAGCACCAAAAGTGCTATTGATATTATTTCAGTCTCAGGTGATTCTTAGAAATCAAGTTTTGGACATTGACTTATTTCAACTGTCTCAAGCATTAAAATAACTTGAGTTTATTTTAGTTACTCTGAACTGGCTACAGGTCTGTGATCTTTTTTTCAAAGTATTAGGGGCTGAATGAATTTTGAAAATCAGAAATTTTAAGATTTTTGATATATAATAAAATACATGTACCACATACTATGTTTCTATGGGTCTGAAATAGCACTTCAGAGATATAAATAATTCTATTGCATTATGTATGTTTAAACTAAGTGATACACACACACACTATATATAGATATACATATCTATATATAGATATATACACACTATAAATAGACTTGTGTGAATTCAGATCCAGCTTTGATGACAAATAAATCACAAAGGTAGTTTTACATATCAGAAATTTAAATTTTTTTTTTCTGAATTAAAATAAAGGATTGTGGGCATGCACTAGAGAAGACAGCAAACACAAAAGTATTAACTATCAAAGTATTAGTATTATGATCTATTGAAATTCTCTTACATACGCACACAAAATTACAAGGTGGTTGTTATCAGGGCCTCACAGAATAGATGGGATCAAGAAGCATCCAGTGGGACAGGCATTTCGCTACTATATAGAGAGGGTTGGTCTACAGCAGCAGACCAGGCTGATGATGGGGCCTCTCAGAGGTAGAAGGTACAACAGCTCAATGTGAATTTGAGTTTCGACACGTGGAAAGAAATTAGAATTGTTTTTTAACTTTTATCATATTAACGCATAATATCAGCTACTATTTTGAAGAACGTTTTATAGCTTGGTGAAATTGGAAAACTGATTGGCATTTTAAGAAAATACCAAGTAATTATTATTCCTTTCTGTCTCATGGATAAAGATGTGACATTTTGGTTATTGCCTACAAATAATTTTGCTCCATTGCCATTAGATGTTATATGAGACTTTCTTTTATGTGAAGATCCAAGAGGACTTTATTTTACGGTCATTTTAAACTAAAATCTGGCAATATTTAGATCAATGGTTCACAGCCTTGGTTGTGCATTAGAAACATGGAGGAAAGTGGTGGGGGATGAAGGTGCTAAAAGCACCCCGATGCCTGCCTCCTACGCTGAGGCGCTAATGTAATTAGTCTGGGGAACAGCCTGGCTGTAGAGATCTTTAAAGCTCTCGGTGAGTCTAATGTCCATCCAACCTTGGAAACTACTCGTTTTGAAGAATTCACTTTTGTTTTTAAGTTCTACATAGGGGAAGTGAAATCAATATTTAGCTAAATGTATTTGCAATTAAAATGAAAACATAAAGCATCAAATTAAAATAAAAGTGAACGCTACATCAACTAATGAGTTTTGTTAAAACATGTTTTAAACCAAAGGATAATATTTACCCTACTTTGTATTCATTTTATTAAAATAATACACTTTTCCAAAGAAATATGGGTGTTGTGGTCCAAATACACATGCAGATTTAGTGACATAACCTGGAAAAGAGTCTTCTTATACACAATTCTGTTATTTGGCACCCAGTCAAAGCCATGAGAGAGAGAGAGAGAGAGAGAGCGCGCGAGGGAGAGCTTCTACAACTTGTTCTATCCCCCACTGTGGGCTTTAAAGAGATGGTGACCATGAATATGAAACTTGAGGCAACCAGAGACTTCAGAGATGTTGCCGAAGTTTACACAGGTTAGTGCTGGAGGACTCCAACCCAACCTTGACAGCGGACTTTGATTTAAAGCTGTTTCCACTCCACTCACACTACTTAATTTGCCTTTATGTGAAATATAAGCTGGGTTGAGATTGGTGAAGACAGTTGGAAACAAAGCATTAAATTTTGGGGCTATACAGAGGATAGAATTATTAAGAGGAGAAGCTACAATGCAGACACAGCCTCAAAGTATTTTCTTAAAAGCAAGATAAGATTACTATCTTATTTGACAAATATTCTAATATGCATTGCTCCTGCTAGAACGTGGTACATAAAGTATCAATTGACAAAGTTGACTATGGAATGTTTTTTCAGGGCCCAGTTTAGAGAAAAGTAAATTATGCTTTAAGAATGAACATTCATTCAGATTTCAAAGATTTGATATGTTTTCTGTTGTCATCAAAGACAATAGGCAGCTATAAAGCCTCAGAAATTGATAAGGATACCGGAAACTTCAGAAGCAAAATCCAATTTCCTTCAGAAAAGTGGATGGTAGTCCTTCTACATGCAGGTCAACTGCATATGTTTGCAGTTTTCTATTAGGATTTCTAAGTCACAGCAGAATGACATTGGGTGGCTGCTAGGATGGTATAGCTTACATCTGAGCTTTGTTTTCACATAGCAACTTATAACTGAACCTAACAATGAAGCTTTAAAGAAATTTATTATCTAAGTCCTTATAGAAATAATACAATTGTTTCATCCAAGCTAGTTAAAAACATCCTTATCTGATAAAATCTCTGGGTAGAGAGGAAAAGGCTTTCTCGAGATGTTGTTATGCTACAGGCATTCCTTAAATTAAAATGTCATTTAGAAGTATTTATTTCTATATCAGTTATTTAATCTAAAAAACATAACATAACATAAAAGTTATTTGAAAGCTTGGAGGGTTAATTAAGTGGTTGCTTAACTTGTTATTGAGGTTCCGTATCTCAGCTTTTTCTCGGAATGGTCCTAATTTTCGTGGCTTTGCCAGCTGCCCTCCATACCACAGAGGAAAGAACAAACAGAAGGTCCTGCTCTATGGCCTTATGGCTGATGGGCGATGTGAGAATTTACATTTCTTTTTCTTCACCAAAATATTTGGATCAGAAATTTCCCCCTAATTAAATTAAATCCTATATAAAATACAAAGATTACTAAGGTCTAGAAAAAAAATCCCTTTGCTTATTAAGAAGTATGAAAAAGAGTCCTTAGGGGTACAGGAAGAAACATTGGTCTTGGAAATTAAGGATTTGGGTTGGAATCCTACCTTTACCTTAACTAGATATCATTCAGTAAATCACTTGGCATCTCTGAGGTCCATCACCTGGGAAATGGGACAGTAATCGGAGTCATAGTTATTGTGATGATGAAAGCAACTTTTCTGTTGTGATGTATGAAAAAGGTATTTTTTTGCTTCCTGTTAGTAAATTTCAAGTTGTGGGGTTTCTTTTTGGAGGGGGCTGGTCCAAAAATAACTCTAAGCTTACAGTGGAGTATGTTAAATTAATAGCTGGGACTATGCAATCTCAAAATGGTGATATACACTTTTCAATTTAGAGAGGTAACATCAGCTCTATAGTATTTGTGTGTTTTTTTTAAATGTTACTTTCAACATCAACTTTAACAGGTATAGGTTGAAAATAACTTGTCACAATAAACAGAAGTAATTGACAATGAAATTAGCATGATTTTGTCAATTGGTGCAATCCATGTCACTGAAAGATCTGCTATCACTTGGGCAAATCATTTATTTATTGGTCATTTCTATTTACAGCACACGAATGTCCCATCATTCTTTCATTCAGAATATTTCAAGTCATGATTGTTCAATGTTTATTTCATGGTTTGCTTCGGTTTGATTAACATACCACCCCTTATCTCCAATAATTGATTTTTTAAAATCTTTTTTTCTTTATAAGGAATGGTCTCCTAAACTATCAGAGGTAAGCATAACAAAGTGAGGACTCTGATCTCAATAAATTAGGAATTTTTATTGTATCCCAACGTCAAAGAGCAAAGGCTGGCAAAGACTGTTTTTCTGCTCTCAATAAACTCTTGCGTTGTTGAGCTCTACAATGAACCTGAGATGTTCCCACCTTCAGAGATTGAGGCCGAGTGTACTAACCTGGCTTGTACTTCTTTCTGGTTGTTTGCCTTCACAGCAACCCCCCTGAGCTCACTTAAGCCTCCAAGGGTGGACACTGCTCCGGTGGTCGCATCTCCCTATCAAAGAAGAGATTCAGACAGATATTGTGGGCTCTGTGCAGCCTGGTTTAATAACCCTCTGATGGCCCAGCAACATTATGATGGCAAGAAACACAAAAAGAATGCGGCAAGAGTTGCTTTATTAGAACAACTTGGGACAACTCTGGATATGGGGGAACTAAGAGGTAAGAGAAACTCCGCTAATTTCTGCCTCAGAACTGGGCTTTCAGAGAAAGGCTAGTGTTTTCACAAATTGGCATGATTATTATTATTAATTAGGCTCATCCAAGGGGAGTGGAAGAAAAAGGGAATGAGCAGAAAACTAGCTCAATCTTTATAATCTCCTTTGTTTCGAAGAGTTTGTTATTTCCATATTTTTATTGACTATTTTTCAGATCAAAGCCACCCACCCAAAAATCAGATTTTATTTCTTTTGCTTCATCTGTAAACACCTTCTCTAATGAATGCTTTTGTACAGGAACAGTATGGCAGAAAATGCTAAAAAGGCCAAATAGCATTTTCTTTAAACTTTTGTGCTGTTAAGAATTCAGCCCAAACAGGGCAATGTACTGATTCAACTTGATGGCTTCACGCAAGACCAAGCTCCTTTAACAGAAATAGCCTGGAAATTGAGGCAAGATGGTGCTGTGTGCCACAATACCCAGCTATCCCACCCCATTTGACAGATGTTTTCTTGATTTGATGGAAACCATGAAGCATTCAAAGTTTGTGTGAGGTTTCACAGAAGCTGCTGACAAGAAACCTGGAAACTGTAGGGTGAGGCTCAGGCTTGTAGATTTCTCAGGAAGCCAGCTACCAGTTTTTGATGGGATTTATAGAATATTTCATTGTTCATAACCATTGAAACACTTTTTGATCACCTAAACATTTTCGATCAATTTGATGTTGGCAGTGTAGAACAAACTGACATATATTTCTGAGAAAATGCATTTTCTCAGAAAAATAATTCTGTGAAGGGTACTGTTGACATCAGACGTTGTATGAGCGAGATAAGCTTTGATGGGCTGGCCAGGGAATCATCATTCAAAATAGCTGTAATAACAAAATTTACAAATCAATTTTGCAAATGCAGCCTAGATTTAAAATGAGTTCTGTGTGTAGAGTCTACAATTTTTATTATCCCAAGCAGGCTATGAGCCTCCAAGAGGGATAATTGTAGTCAGGAATAACCTGTTACAATTCTAGACCAAATAAGTGGAATAGAAGATCATGCTGTGTGAGCCGAAAGGGGGGACATGTCGCTTCTGGTGATATTGATGAGGAAGACTTCATCAAGGAAAGGGACTTGAGTTGGAACTAGAAAGGTGGGTAGCATTTCAGCAGGTACAAAGGCATTCCATGTGAGCAGAATTAGATGTGCAGGCAAAGAGGCAGGAAAATAGAAGCTGTTAGCTACCTGGCAAATAAACACGTTATTGTGAAAGAATCCTCTGATACAGCATATGTTAAAGACTGGAAGGCAACTAGTACATCTATAGAGCTTGATTAGAAACTGATTATTCCAAGATATGTGATTGAAAATGATAAATAAGAGCAAATATTAAAAACACTTTACTTTTGTGTATGTTTTCTAGCTATAGAAAAACAACATGAGCTTAATATTTTCCTTTGTTGAATAATTTCATTCCAGAAACTTTGGAATCATTGTTATTATTGCTATTTTTGGGGGGAGTTCTTATGTTCTCAGTCTACGTGGTGTGAAAGCAGTCCAGGATGAATCTGCCCGCAGCTGAAGGCCTACCCACCGCTCACTGCTACTGGCAGATAACAAGCTGGCTTAGTGGCTCCTTTCTGGCAGGGCACTGAAGGGGAAAAACAGGACTTTATTTATGTTTTGCGCCAGATATTATAACTTATGGAAAAATTATTCCTAGAGTACATTCTTCTTGTCAAGTTTGAATTATCAGTGCTGCATCTTTTATGTGCAACCACATCTTAATGACGTGGGCGTCTGAATTCTGTTACATTTGAGTAGCTTGTCTTTTATACAGAGACAAAAAGGGCTCTTCTTTGACTTGATAACAATGTGGCTATGCCTTGGTAACATGGAAAATGCAATTAGCATTGAACACAGTGTCCTTGAAATCAACCTTTTCACCTACCCCTGGTGACATCTTGATATATATTTATTCCAGCATTAAATATTGCAGAAGCTTGAGGAATAAAGCAATGATGATAATTCACATTTTAAAACACATGCACACACACACTCACCTGTTTCTGGAATGCTTCTAATGCATGATTGATCAATTAATAAGGGCAAAAATGCTGATAGATTAATAAAGACATAACCATAACTTTTTAAAAAATGGTATCAAGTAGTTGGAGAATAATATGGCAGTGCCACAGGCTTTCTTTCTCAGCACGTCTCAGTTTTTTAGGCAGTACATTTACTTACTTATTACGGTTCACCTGATTATCTGTTTTTCTCTCTACCCCTCCGCCATAAATTGTTAGCAACTTGAAAGCATCTCTGTCTGTTATGCTCACTGATGTGTTCAAAACATCTAGAATAGTGACATCCACGTAGTAGTACTCAATAATTGCTGAATGAATAAATGAACAGCAAAAGCAAAATTAAAAAATCACCTAAAATCCTACATTTTAATATGGCAATCATTTTCAATTCTAAAATGATCCCAATTAATTTTTACAGGAAGTCATTTATAACTTTTTACTTCTAAATTTTAAAAAGATGTTATATATTTTACATATTGTCAAATAAGAAGATACCAAGTGTTATTGTTCTATGAGTTTTAACAATTCAAACACCTTGTAACCCACACTCCTATCAAGAAAATTCCCGTGTGCTCCTTCCCAGTCAAACCTAATCTCCCATTCCAGGAATCACTTTTCTTATTTTTTCACTATAGATTAGTTTTGCTCATTCTAAAACCCCACATAAATGGAAGCAGACAGTATCTATTTTTTTATGTGTATGTATCTAGCTTCTCTTGCATAGCATATTATTTTTGAAATGTGTCCACCTGTTGTCTATAAAGCAGACTAGCCTTTCTTAAAGAATAGGATTCTGCCCCAAATCCCACAATTTATATATCCATTTTCCTCTTAATTTTTTGAGTACTATTTAGAATAAAACGTATATAAACATTGCGTTGTTGTTATTAACATATGTTTTAATTCTCTTGGTAGATTCCTAAGAGTAGAATAGGTGGTTCTTAAACTGGGTGCATGTTTAACTCTGTAAGAAACCGCCAAAATTGTTTGCAAAGTAGTTTCTTTATTTTGAATTCTCAAAAGAACAGAGAGTGGTCCTCCCTTGTCCACAGTTTCACTTTCCCTGGTTTCGGTTATGGTCAACCATGGTCTGAAAATATTCAACGGGAAATTCCAGATATAAACAATTCAGAAGTTCTAAATTGTGCACGGACCCGGGTAGCGTGATGAAATTGTGCACCATCGCGCTCAGTCCTGCCTGCGATGTGACGCATCTCTCTGTCTAACATGCCCACCGTGTATGTGCTTCCAGCCCCCAGCCCTCTTAGTCACTTAGCAGCCATCTCACCTACCAGACCCACTGCTGTGGCATTGCATACTTGTGTTCAAGGCATCCTTATTTTACTTAATAATGGCCCCAAAGCCATTCACATAACTTTTATTACAGTATATTGTTACAATTGTTTGATTTTATTATTATTGTTGTTAATCTCGTACTGTGCCTAATTGGTAATTAAACTTCATCATAGTTATGCATGCATAGCAAAAACACATAGCATGTAGGGGTTTGGTGCTACCCGAGGCTGCAGGCATCCACTGGAAGTTCTTGAGACATATTTCCCATAGATAAAAGGCCAACTACTGTACGTGAATTCTATAATCTCACCAACATTTGTTTTTGTCAGTCTTTAAATTTTAGCCTCTCTGGTGAGCGTAGGAGAGTATTTCATTATGGCTTTAATTGGTGTTTCCATATTGGTGAAGATGTCAACGGCTTTTTTAAATGTGCTTATTGGTCATTTGCATATCTTCTGTGGAGAAGCGACTGTTCGTGTCTTCTGTCTGTATTTTTCAAAATTTGGTCGTGTGCCTTTTTTATTATTGAGCAGTAGATAGAAGGTTTTCCCATACTATTAACACAAATCCTTTATCAGATATATGCATTGTTAATGTTTTTCTCCTAATCTGTGACTTGAGTCTTCATTTTCTTGAAGAATATCTGGTGGGCAGACATTTACATTGTGGAAGTCTAATTTATCTTCTTTTTCTTTTTGTAATTACTGTTTTTTATGCCCCATCTAAAAAAAATCTTTGCTACACCCAAAGGCATTCTGTAAGTTCTTTTCTATAAATTTTATTATTTTAGCTTTTAGATCTATGATTATGGTGTATCTCAAATAATTTTTATATATGATATAAGGTAGGGGTTGAAATTCACTTTGTTTTCATACATTACCAGGTTGTCACAGCAAATTTGTTGGAAATATTTTCTTTTTCTCATTGAATTGCCTTGGCACCTTTATTAAAAGCCTATTGATTATATGTAAATCTATTTCTATATAATCTATTGTGTTTCATTGATTTCTTTGACTATCTTTATGCCAGTACTACAATTATTGATTTTTCTTAGCATTACAGAACACTTGATATTAGGTAGTACAATTTTTCCAGACTTGTTTTTCTTTCTAAAGATTGTTGACTGTTCTAAATCCTTTGCATTTCTATATAAATTTTATAATTATCTTTCTACTCTCTACACAGAAAACTTATTAGAATATTGAATGGGTTTGAATTCAATCTGTAGGTCAATTTGGAGAGAATTTATTTAAATTCTTCACAATAATGAGTCTTCCAATCTGTGAACATCCTCTCTATATATTTGTTTTTTTAAAAATTCTATCAATAATGTTCTGCAGTTGTCAGTATAAAAGTTTTAAGCCTATTTGTTAAGTTTTTCCTCAAGTATGTTATGTTCTTTAACTCCAGTATATTTTTTGAAATTTCATTTCTATGTTTTTTACTGATATATAAATGTAGTTGATTTGTGTATATTGACCTTGAATCATGTAACCTCCACAAGACTTTCTACTTATTATTTGAAAATATTTTAATAGCACAAAATTTTTATACCTTCTGTATTTTTTGTATTTACACTATTTAGCCATTGGAAACTATAGAATGGTGTTAGTATTCTTGCCTTCCTTTG